AAGGCTCTCACTGCTCCTAGTCTCAAGAAGATGCATGCCGCCTATCCTGCTACTAGAGGGATCGCTGGTGGGTTGTCATCCTCTTCTTTTTCTAATGTGTCCACGTGTAGGTCCTGAGCTCACCGACAGAGCGGTGTTCATCATATTGAGCATGGCTTTGTTCCGCTGGGCTGTTCGTGTTCTCAAGGCTCTTTTGTTGTGCGTGGGGTTCATGTTTTGCTCTAAACACGCGAAGAGCGTTCGATCTGGCGAGTCAGGTTCGGCTGAGGAGGCCAAAGCTCAGCACGGAAAAGTGAGTCGATTGGCTGCTGAACTGGTTGGACAGTGCATAAGATGGATTTTGCATGATGTGCTGAGCGTGAATCGAGTGACCTCTGTCGTTGCGTGATCGCCTAGTGGGCATCATTGGGTCCCCAACAACTAGAGGGAATCAATGTTTTTGTCGGTTAGGATTCCTCCGCACCAACCAAGAATTTCAAAGGTAAAGAGCAAAACTGAACATGTCTGTGTTTGAGAAATCACAACACTAAGAGCACTGCAAACTCCTCCGCTACGACCTCACACACCGATGGATATCCCCGCTTAGTTGTCGATTTCTATCAGTGCTCGCACTGTTGGTGATGCAGTTGTTCATTGTTGGTCTAGTGGTACATTCTCATAAAATCTCATTAGATATATTCAGATGCCGAGTACGGTGTTGTAATTTCTGGTCGTGCGTAATCACGTACAGGCTGTCGCGGGTGCGCGGCGTGCTGCTGAAAATGGTGCAAAGTATCTTTGGTGAAGTGTTTATTAGGGAGCAGTTGAGGTTGAAGAGAATGCCTATACGCCTGGACAAACCAGAGAAGCGTATGCGATATGATCCGTTGGAAGCTCTCATACGTGAAGTAGATCGTACTCTAGTAGCACTTGGCGAGTAGGCCTTAAAGGAAGTGTAATCTCTTTGTATGCATTGCTTGTCGCAGTCCCTCACCAATAAAGGGAATTCGCAAGGACGGTGTGATACTGGAGCCAACAACGAGCTTTCCGGCATTAAACTGTGTGTTATCGTCTGCGGGTGTGACGAGGGTGACTGGAGGCGGAAGTGTATGCTTGAGGTTTGCATGCAGTGTTGAACACTTGTCACCCGCACAGATTGCCGCTGTAGTACAGCTCCTATCAAGTGCGTTGCAGGAAGGTCCTCATCGGCGCTGCATAATAGTCGGGAGAATGGCTCGGATGCTGCCGATTATTACTGCCCTTCACGAACAAGGTACATCTACGTGTTCGGTATCGCAACAATGGTTTAGCATTCTATTATGTGGCTTCTTACAGACATACCATTGAAAGATCTCCATCGATTAAGTCTCTATGAGATGAAAACAGTTGATGATCTTTTCGGATTCCTCTATATGGCTACTCGAGAATCGTGGCTTTCAGAGCACACTGGCTCATTGGTGAGTCTAACGGTTATTTATTGGAGTTTCACCCGTGATATGAAAAACACTAGTGAATAGCGTATTTCACGACTACTGCATACTGCAAATATCGCGTTTTTCATCGAGTATTACGCCGCTTCACGTAAAACAGGTGAAACTCAATTGATTCCGATTTCAAGAACTCATCCTCGCGGATGCCATACTGTTATTTCTTGGAGTTGCTCTATCAGATAATATTCGAATCGTTGGCATCCATATTGTCCCCGCTGGAGTTCTCCACCTGCCAATCGACTAGACGGCTCGTCGATGTCGTCTACCGGCAAGTATATATCTAGTGTTCTCCGACTTGATCGTCAGTAAGTTGCTAGTAGGGTGATATCAGATTTCTATCATCGAAGCTGGTACTGCTGGATCCACCGTGATCGTTCGAGAGCGACAAGTGCCAGAGAGGTCGAAGTTCTCGGTGACTGGACCGACCAAGGAGGTGGGCTCGTCCGAGTATCCTGGTGCGCGCTGTCTGATGTCCGCGAAGAATCTTGTCAAGTGAGTTCATTGGCAGGTCCACCTTGACGTGCCTCTCTGAATCATGTTTCACTCTGCCGTGATCGTGTTCTGTTTTCGTGTGTGGATCTTTGGAAACTACCGACGAGATTAGAATTTGCTCCAGAGAGCATCATCAATCAATTCACGATTGGTGAAAGACTACGTCGGAATTGCGATCTTGTTTTGTGGATTGAACTGGACTGTTTACTTCTGACTGGTTCACATCAACTATTCTATAACAACACGACGAATGCAGGAGTCTGGATGAGTATTCTTAATCAATGTTGGAGATCAAAAATATTTTGGTTGAAAAAGTCTAATGACAGAGCAGCGGAAAGCATGCTGAGTTGATGGTTGATTGAAGTAGGCACTGCATGCCATGTTCAAGGTCCTTAGTGTGAGAGCCATGCTCCCTGATATTCTCCCATTCAACCACCCACACACACATACTATGCGGTCTCCTCATACGATCCATAGTGCTTTGATCCATGTGGCCGCGCCGGAAGGCCAGCTGTAGCTCGCTCATCGCCGACGTGAGATCCTTCATAACCAGGATGTAGAATTCCGTGCTGAAGCCAGGCACCACACAAGCGAATCTATCTTTCTCAGAGTACAGCGACATCAGGTGTTGGATCATGTTTAGCTTACCATCATACAGACTCAGAGATAGTCCTGGGTCATCGTAATAGTCCATCGATATGCAGAATAGATCTGACCCGAGCTTCCACATCTGTTTAATAGACCTGCCACTGTCGTCAGTATCATTTCTCTCAAGACCAGTCAGTAACGTGGGTGGCTCCGCAGCCTCCACGACTCCACCACTCCTTGTGACCCTGTGATTATACACCTCGAGGGAGCCTTCATTCGTGGCGACCCACACTCGGACCTGCTCTGGCCAGGAACCTTTACAAGTAACCCCGAGAGTACGCCTCCAAGTTCGGGTCGGAGATTCAAGGGACCATAGGGACTGTGCCTTCCTCTGAGGAGCGCGACCTTGAATGTCCACGTAGTAGAGTGTGAGTTTGTCGTCGTGTAAGAGGGTAACCAGGAAGATACCATTCTCAGACAAACATATGGCAGGCCTGTAGTCTTGCGTGACTCGACCATGGTTAACGCCACTAATAGTCGATCTGAGCTTATTGTCAATATCGTTCAGAGGGATAACGGTGAGGATTGTCGAGGATTGATGAACCTCAAGGCATATCAGCTTGTCTTCAATACGGTCGTAGCAGAAGGCACACTTCCGATCCAAGAGGCAATCCAAATCGAGACCTTCGCCCCCATCCGCACCGGGTAGAGGCAAGAGCAGCACTGACGCATCTTCGTCACCCGCATCCTTAGTGACCCCAACCATTGAGCGTCCTCGAAAGAAGTAGAACTGTAAGGGTCCGAGCAAGAGTCCGACCGGGAATACTCCTTGTCGCTCAGCCCAATAATA